TCATTATTCTTTCAAAATAAATGATAATAAAATCTAAGCCTAAACAAAACCATAAAAATATATCATGTTTGTGATTGATGACTCTCTATGGGATCCAAAAGCCGAAGACGAAAGGATCGAGTCAGACAGTGAGGAGGGGACCGTCTCCCCGGACATACAAAGGTTGCTAGAAAAGGAAGCTCAGTATATACAGCCCTACTAAGAAACCGAGGCCATCGATTTGGGGGCAAGGAAACAATAAGAAGGAAATAAGTATTGGTACCCAAATCGATGATAACGTTAGGGATGGTTTGGTACAACTATTAAGGGAGTGAGTAGACGCATTTGCATGGTCCTACCATGACATGCCAACACATTAGAATCCAGCATCATAACTCCTCTCCCTACCGACCTAAAATGAATGGTGCAGTAGAGGCAGTCAATAAGAACATCAAGAAGATCATCCAAAAGATGGTCAAAACTTGCAAAGATTGGCATGAAATATCGCCCTTTGCCCTTCATGGTTATCAAACTTCTGTACAGACTTCCAGAGGAGCTACTTTATTCTCCCTTATATATGACATGGAGGTCGTACTTCCGATAGAGGTCAAAATACCTTCCCTACGAGTTATCATGGAAGCAAAACTGACAGAAGATTAATGGGTCCAAAGCCAATACGACCAGTTAAACTTAATTGAAGAAAATCGGTTGGATGCCATATGTCGTGGACAAGCCTACCAAAAGAAGATAAAAAAGGCTTACGAGAAAAAGGTTAACCCCCATATTTACCATGAAGGGGATTTAATGGTAAAGAAATTGCTTCTGGCCCAGAAAAACGAAGTTGGAAAATGGGCGACAAATTATGAAGGGCCCTTCGTGGCTAAGAGAGCTTTTTGGGGAGGAGCTCTTACCCTCGCCGATATGGATAGAGAGGAACTTCAACACCAAGTCAATTTCGATGCGGTGAAGAAGTATTATGCTTGAAGACATTGCTCAAGACCCACCAGGATGAAAACCCACAAAGGGCATCCTGTGAAAAAGATAGGGTCCACATTCCTCGCTAGGATACGTCCTAGGCAAAATTTAGAGGTAAAAAAAAATCCTAAGAACAATGGTTACCTTAGTCGAAAATCAAAAGGCGGCTAAGGTAACATCCTTCCAGAAGCAGACAATTTTGCATAGTTTTCACTCCGGGATTGAGCATCTCGACTGAAGCAACTAAGAGAACTAGGGGGGCAGACATCATAGTCATGATTGTTGAAGCCCATACAATGTAGCCAACCTTGGCTTGCCATTTTTCTAAAATTCCTTTGTAATCCTTCTGTAAAAATAAAGAAGAAGAAATAAACCTTTTTGCTTATACATATCAATAAAATTCTCTTTCATTTCTATTCTCTTGACCAAGTTATGGAAATACCTCTATATTGATAAATCATAAATATGCGCAAAGTCATTTTGTCAAGATTAAATCATGCATCTAAGACAACGAAGAATTGAAAAAGAAAAAAATGAAAATAAAAAAAGAATAATGCCTGCTAGGAGATTCTTAGGCAAAAATTAGGGCAGCCTACTAGATCGAAAACCCCAATAGGGCGGTCTAGGCAAAAGTTAAGGTACTCATAAAAAAGGAAAAAATTCCGCTAAGATATCCTAGGCAAAAATTAAGGCAGCTCGCTAGATCGAAAATCTCAAAAGGGCGGTCTAGACAAAAGTTAGGGCTAGACAAAAAAAATGAATAACAGAGGAGCCCATCGGCATATTTATCAAAGTGCAGTAGGCGAATGCCGATCACTTTTCTAGATGCATCAAATAAGAGAATAGAGTGCATTTAGGGCATTCACACACAAGTAGTCGCACAAAACGACTCTGTCAAAATCAAAAAATAAAAAATAAAAATTTCTCTAAGAAAATAACAAAAAACAAGATTCATGCATATAAGGAGACTAGGCTCCATGTTTGTGATTGAAAAACAGGATCGCCGAGACTGAGCCTCCAAATAATGCTCTCCCTCAAGAAAACGGAGCAAGTCGTCACTAATCAAGCGACTCAGAGCAAAATAAGAGCTTCCAGAAGTCAAAGCTCTAGCCATCATCCTTGTACCCAACAAAAAGAAGGAATCAACCAAGAAAAGCCGACGGAAAGGCTCGATCATCCCCAAAAAGGATCCTTGCCTGCTCTAGAGGCAAAACCAGAAAATACTACCCTAAGGCTCAGCATTGCCGCCACATGAGTCATCATCAAGCATACTCATTTAAGGCTCCACCACATTCCCCAATGGAAAATAAAGGCTTCACAAAAGCCATTCACCAAAAAGACAAAAAGTAAAAACCTCTGTGCCCTCGAGGGCTCAACAAAAGGAAGAAGAAAAAAGAAAACCCTTCATCAGCGGATGCCAAGAATTAAACAATAAAATCAAGGAATCGGAAATTCCATTCCCATAGTGGAATAAGAACTTCACAAAGCCAACTCACATCAGCATCAATCAAAGAGTCAAAACTCTATCCCCTAGAGGGCAACCAAAATCAGATCCCCAGGAAGTCAACCAATCCCCTGGTGGATAAAAAAAAAGAAAAATATATCCCCAATGAGCCTACTACAAAGGCAATCTTCAGACTTACATCTTCAGAGAGTTGTTTGCCTATGCATAGGCAAGACCTGACAAGCAATAACCAACTTCCCCAAAAGGGAATATCAGTCTGCTCAGAGGTAAAACAGTGCAACCAAAGGTCTTCACCTACTTAGAGGCATCATCAAAATTAACAAATCCCTAGTGGATTCCTGTCTACCTCAGAGGCAATTATCAATAATCCTCAGCGATCAATAAGTTGGGTGGCTACGAAAAAACCTAAAACCAAAAAATCCCCAAAGATCAATAAGTTGGATGGCAATGGAACAAACCCAAAATCAAAGAATCCCCAACAACCAACAAGCTGGATGGTTATTAGAAAAGCCCAAAATCAAAGAATCTCCAACAATCAACATGCTAGATGACTATCGTAAAAAGCCCAAAATCAAAGAATCCCTAACAATCAAGAAGCTGGATGACTATTGTAAAAGCAAAAAAAAAAAAAAAGAATCCCCAACTGATGTGAACATGACCTATGATAAGGGTTAGAGCAAGGGAAACAAAGAAAGCTTTTCAACAAGTATTGTTGGTTGGCCAAATTGTGTTTTGGATTAATCAATTAATGGACTTTAGTTTAGTTTTATTGCAAGTTGTAATAAGGGCCCAATTGGAAATTTAGTTATCAGTCTTTGGGAGACCAAGAGGGTGCATAGCTGATTGACTTTTGGATGCCACAATTTCAGTTATAATCAATCATTAAGTAGTTTTCAATTCCTAGGTTAATAAATCATTATTAGCATTTATTTTCCTTTAATGAATATTTGTAACTCGGATGGCAAAGCTTCTTTATAAGCTTGAACCATTTTTATCGAAATAACAAGTTGAGTTTTATTTTTGGAAATATTAGAGTTTATCTCTTTTATCTTAGTGAGAGTGATTCTCCTAAATTCTTGAGTGATTCAAGAACCCTTGGCTGTATCAAAGGACTGTCACATCCTTTGTGTGTTGCCTCCCTTGGGAAGAGTGATTCTTTCCTTCCACCTTCTTTCAAATTCCTAAATTTCTTACAAGGTTCTAACCCTAAAGATCCTAAATTATCCCTTGTGATTCATATCAGTTGGTATTCAGAGCCCCGGTTTAAAGGTTTGAACATCAAATTGATGGCAGAGGAGAATAAAAAGAAAATGAGAGTTCTTCTTCAAGAAAAGAAAGAAAAAAAGAAGAAGAGTGAAACACGTGAAGTGAAACAGAGCTATTTAGCCATAAAAAGTGAGTATAATGTTAGTTCTACATTCAATTTATCAGACTTATCTCTTTTTTATGTAGATGATGAATCCTATTTGAGGACAAATCCTTTTCAAGAGGGAGAGAATGATGTGAACATGACCTATGATAAGGGTTAGAGCAAGGGAAACAAAGAAAGCTTTTCAACAAGTATTGTTGGTTGGCCAAATTGTGTTTTGGATTAATCAATTAATAGACTTTAGTTTAGTTTTATTGCAAGTTGTAATAAGGGCCCAATTGGAAATTTAGTTATCAGTCTTTGGGAGACCAAGAGGGTGCATAGCTGATTGACTTTTGGATGCCACAATTTCATTTATAATCAATCATTAAGTAGTTTTCAATTCCTAGGTTAATAAATCATTATTAGCATTTATTTTCCTTTAATGAATATTTGTAACTCAGATGGCAAAGCTTCTTTATAAGCTAAACCATTTTTATCAGAAATAACAAGTTGAGTTTTATTTTTGGAAATATTAGAGTTTATCTCTTTTATCTTAGTGAGAGTGATTCTCCTAAATTCTTGAGTGATTCAAGAACCCTTGGCTGTATCAAAGGACTGTCACATCCTTTGTGTGTTGCCTCCCTTGGGAAGAGTGATTCTTTCCTTCCACCTTCTTTCAAATTCCTAAATTTCTTACAAGGTTCTAACCCTAAAGATCCTAAATTACCCCTTGTGATTCATATCACCAACACACCTGATGAATACTCAGAAAAGACAAAATTTTTTTTCAAGAAAAACTACTCCCCATGAAGTCAACGCGTGATCAAGATCAGTAAGCCGCTATCACATAGTTTAGTCCAAGGAAAGGACTTAAACCAGATGGGGGTTCATACTCATCAATCACAAGGTCGGCCACCGCATTGATGGAGCATCCTAAGACTCAAACCAGATGGGGGTTCGTACTCATCAAACACAGGATCGACCACCACATCAACGGAGCATCCTGAAACTTAAAACCAGATGGGGGTTCATACTCATCAAATACAGGGTTGACCACCGCATCGACGAAGCATCCTGAGACTCAAACCAGATGAGGGATCGTACTCATCAGACACAGGATCAACCACCGCATCAACGAAGCATCCTGAGACTCAAACCAGATGAGGGTTCGTACTCATCAAACACAGGATCAACCATCACATCGACGGAGCATCCTGAGACTCAAACCAGATGAGGGTTTGTACTCATCAAACACAAGAAGTTAAGGAGGGAGAGATGATTATTATGGATGGAGAAGAAGTCAAGGAAGGAGAAGAAGTCATGGACGAAGAAGATGTTATGGAAGGAGAAGAAGTTAAAGATGGAGAAGAAGTTAAGGAAGGAGAAGGAGTTAGGGAAAGAGAGAAAGTTAAAGAATGAGAAGAAGAAGTTAAGGAAGGAGAAGAAGTTAAGGATGGAGAAGAATTTAAGTATGGAGAAGAAATTAAGGAAGAAGAAGAAGATAAGGAAGGAGAAGAAGTTATGGATGGAGAAGAAATTTGGGATGTAGATGAAGTTAAGGAAGAAGAAGAAGAAGTTAAGGATGGAAAAGAAGTTAGGGGAGGAGAAGAAGTTAAGGATGGGGAAATAGTTTGGGATGGGGAAGAAGTGAATGAAGGAGAAGAAGTTAGGGAAGAAGAAAAATTTTTGGATGGAGAAGAAGTCAAGGTTAAAGAAGAAATTATGGGTGGGGAAGAAGTTAAGGAGGGAGAGATGATTATTATGGATGGAGAAGAAGACAAGGAAGGAGAAGAAGTCATAGACGGAGAAGATGTTATGGAAGTAGAAGAATTTAAAGATGGAGAAGATGCTTTAGATGGAGAAGAAGTTAAGGAAGGAGAAGGAGTTAGGGAAAGAGAAGAAGTTAAAGAAGGAGAAGAAGTTAAGGATGGAAAGACGTTGGGATGGAGAAGAAGTTTAGAATGGAGAAGAAATTAATGAAGAAGAAGAAGAAGTTAAGGAAGGAGAAGAAGTTATGGATGGAACATAAGTTAAGTATGGAGAAGAAATTTGGGATGTAGATGAAGTTATGGAAGGAAAAGAAGAAGTTAAGGATGCAGAAAAAGTTAGGGAAGGAGAAGAAGTTAAGGATGGGGAAATAGTTTGGGATGGGGAAGAAATGAAGGAAAGAGAAGAAGTTTTGGACGTTGCAGAAGTCAAGGATAAAAAAGAAATTATGGATGGGGAAGAAGTTAAGGAGGGAGAGATGATTATTGTGGATGAAGAAGAAGTTAAGGAAGGAGACGAAGTCATGGACGGAGAAGATGTTAGAAGTTAAAGATGGAGAAGATGCTTTGGATGGAGAAGAAGTTAAGGAAGGAGAAGGAGTTAGGGAAAGAGAGGAAGTTAAAGAAGGAGAAGAAGTTAAGGATGGAGAAGAAGTTTGGGATGGAGAAGAAATTTGGGATGGAGAAGAAGTTTGGAATGGAGAAGAATTTAAGTATGAAGAAGAAATTAAGGAAGAAGAAGAAGTTAAGGAAGGAGAAGAAGTTATGGATGGAGCATAAGTTAAGGATGGAGAAGAAATTTGGGATGTAGATGAAGTTAAGGAAGGAGAAGAAGAAGTTAAGGATGGAGAAGAAGTTAAGGATGGGGAAGTAGTTTGGGATGGGAAAGAAGTGAAGGAAGGAGAAGAAGTTAGGAAAGAAGAAGAAGTTTTGGATGGAGAAGAAGTCAAAGATAAAGAAGAGATTATGGATGGGGAAGAAGTTAAGGAGGGAGAAATGATTATTATGGATGGATAAGAAGTCAAGGAAGGAGAAGAAGTCATGGACGGAGAAGATGTTATGGAAGGAGAAGAAGTTAAAGATGGAGAAGATGCTTTGGATGGAGAAGAAGTTAAGGAAGGAGAAGGAGTTAGGGAAAGAGAGGAAGTTAAAGAAGGAGAAGAATTTAAGAATGGAGAAGAAGTTTGGGATGGAGAAGAAGTTTGGAATGGAGAAGAATTTAAGTATGGAGAAGAAATTAAGGAAGAAGAAGAAGAAGTTAAGGAAGGAGAAGAAGTTATGGATGGAGCATAAGTTAGGGATGGAGAAGAAGTTTGGAATGGAGAATAATTTAAGTATGGAGAAGAAATTAAGGAAGAAGAAGAAGAAGTTAAGGAAGGAGAAGAAGTTATGGATGGAGCATAAGTTAAGGATGGAGAAGAAATTTGGGATGTAGATGAAGTTAATGAAGGAGAAGAAGAAGTTAAGGATGGGGAAATAGTTTCGGATGGGGAAGGAGTGAAGGAAGGAGAAGAAGTTAGAGAAGAAGAAGAAGTTTTGGATGGAGAAGAAGTCAAGAATAAAGAAGAAATTATGGATGAGAAAGAAGTTAAAGAGAGAGATATGATTATTAGTGCCTAGCGGCACGGGGAGGATGGCCGCGACAATCAGATAAATAACAAAACTATGGAGATGAACATAAGAGAACGATTGAAATGAAGGTCAAGATGGAAATTCATATTGCTAGAATAAACGAGCTTGAGGCGGAGGTGCATTCTTTGAAGGTAGCCCAGAATGATTCTAAAATAAGATTGTCATGTGTGAAACAAGAGTCAATGGAGCAATAAAGTAGGTCTAGGTTCTGCTCCATGGTGTCAACCTTTCCCAATTGAATCTAATGAAATTAGTTGTGAATGGGAAAATCATGGAGGATGATTAAATCGGTAGTCTATGTTTTGTAATGTATGCAATTATTTTTTCTTTTGTTTTTTTTATTTGTATTTTGAATAATAATATAATTTGAACAATGTTGAATTGTTACACGAGAAATGGTATAGGATATTGAACATTTGTATTGCATGCTTAGTTAGATAAGTCCTGTTTAGAAAACTATTTGTATATGTATCAAGAAACAATTTATGCTTACATCAGGTGATCATATAGGAACTTATGGCTATGTTGAAGGATTACTTAAGATCACATTGGAGGATCACTTAGGATCATATCGAGAAATCACTTAGGAATCTAACTCTTCCTTCCAGCTCGCAACTTATATATTAAAAATTTGGTTCCTAATTAGTTTGATATTAACCCCACCTTTTAATGATCATTTTTCCTTTATTTTAGGTTTGTGGTAGTAGTTACCCTTATGTTGGGAAAGTCAGTAGTGCGATCAAGGTAAGTTAAGGGTAGTGGTCCTGCATTTTTCGTTCTAGTGATACATACCTTTGATTCTTTCAAGATTAATCCTAATATATGATTTGTCTCATATTAAGATTAACTCGTAACAATAAACAACCAGTTAATCTATAACCTTTTATGATGAACTAATTGATTAAGAATGATAAAATACTTTAATAAAATTATAAAATCATCTTATCACAAACCTATGTATATCAATAATATCATTATTTTTTTTCTCTTTTATCATACATTTTGCATATTTTTTTCTTTTTTTAATGTCTATTAAGTTCTTAACAATATTTTCGAAGGATTGAACATCTAAAATAAAATAAAAAAATATTCATTACATAACTGAAATTATTAATATTACAATTATGGAAAGATTTTATTATATAAAATAATTAAAAACTATTATTATATTATTAAAGGTTGTAACTCGGTAAAAGAGTTATTTAATTATTTTTTTCTAATTAAAAGGATTGTCTAACACGGATTTTCAAAAACGGCAAACGAGCAAACATTCTATAATGCAGAACTCAGACATAAAATTGTTGCGTGATACTTCTTTACCCTGTTGGTTGATCACTGAGGCCTGCATCAAACATCACATTGTTCCATGATATTCCATTCCCATGTTCTCAGCCAACACCCTTTCAAATTCAAACTCCCCTCATTAAAAATACTCACCAAAAACACCCATTTTTCTTCACTCTTTTCCCCTTCTCTTAAAAGTTTCAATCACCCAAACCTTCTCCAACTGTGCACCCTTTGCAACACCCTTTCCCAAACCAAGCAAGCCCACGCCTTTGCCATCCTCCATGGCTTCCTTCCCCGCAGTGTATCCATTTGTGCCTCTCTCATTCTCCAATATGCCTCCTTTGGGCACCCGACATCTTCCCTTATTCTCTTCCAACACAGCGTTGCGTATTCCGGTAGTGCTTTCTTGTGGAACACCGTTATCCGTGCCAACTCCATTGCTGGTGTATTTGATGGATTTAGCACCTATAACACCATGGTTCGTGCTGGTGTTAAGCCTGATGAGTGCACCTACCCTTTTGTTCTGAAGGGGTGTTCTGATTTTGTGGAGGTTTATAAGGGTAGGGAGGTTCATGGGGTTGTGTTTAAGCATGGATTTAATGGGGATATCTTTGTTGGGAATACCCTTCTGGCCTTTTATGGGAATTGTGGGCTTTTTGATGATGCAATGAAGGTGTTTGCTGAAATGACGGTAAGGGATAAGGTGTCCTGGAATACCGTTATTGGCTTCTGTTCTCTTCATGGGTTTTACAAGGAGGCGCTCAGGTTTTTTAGGGAGATGGTTGTGGCCGTACCAGGGATTCATCCGGATTTGGTGACCATTGTGAGTGTTTTGCCTGTATGTGCGGAAACTGGGGACGAGGTGATGACAAGAATTGTGCATTCTTATGCTTTGAAGGTTGGCTTGTTGGGCAATCTTAAGGTTGGAAATGCGTTCGTTGATGTGTACGGAAAGTGTGGATGTGCGAAGGCTTCCATGAAAGTTTTTTATGAAATTGATGAGAGGAATGTGGTTTCCTGGAATGCTGTTATTACTAGTTTTTCTTTTAGAGGGAAATATATGGATGCTTTCAATGTATTTAGGCTGATGATTGGTGCGGGCGTGACACCGAACTCTGTCACCATTTCTAGTATGCTACCTATATTAGCAGAATTAGGACTTTTCAAGTTGGGAATGGAAGTGCATGGGTTTAGTTTAAGAATGGCTATTGAGTCTGATGTTTTTATTGCTAACTCGTTAATAGATATGTATGCAAAATCAGGATTTTCAAGAATAGCATCCTCTATATTCAATAAAATGGTAGGAAGAAACAATGTATCTTGGAATGCTATGATTGCAAATTTCGCCCAGAACAAGCTTGAGTTTGAAGCTGTAGAATTAGTGAGGCAAATGCAAGTTAAGGGAGAAGTCCTCAACAATGTCACCTTCACAAATGTTCTTCCAGCTTGTGCAAGATTAGGATTCCTGAATGTTGGAAAAGAAATTCATGCCAAGATTGTTCGAGTTGGATCTGCCTTGGATTTGTTTGTCTCTAATGCTCTGACAGACATGTATTCAAAATGTGGATGCTTAAACCTTGCACGAAATGTCTTCAATATTTCTGTCAGGGATGAAGTGTCCTACAATATACTAATTATAGGCTATTCTCGAACAAATGACTGCTCAGAGTCTCTAAGTTTGTTTTCAGAAATGAGACTCTTGGGCATGGCTCCTGATATTGTTTCTTTCATGGGTGTCATATCAGCTTGTGCAAATCTAGCTTCCATAAGACAAGGCAAAGAGATTCATGGTCTGTTGGTGAGAAAGCTTTTTCACACTCATCTTTTTGTGTCGAATTCGCTCTTGGATTTTTACACCAGGTGTGGACGAATAGATCTCGCTACAAAGGTCTTTGACAGTATTCAAAACAAGGATGTGGCCTCTTGGAATACTATGATTTTGGGGCACGGTATGAGGGGTGAGTTGGATACTGCGATGAACCTTTTTGAAGCAATGAAGGAAGATGGTGTGGACTATGATTCAGTTTCATTTATTGCTGTTTTATCTGTGTGTAGCCATGGAGGGCTGATTGAGAAAGGGAGGAAATACTTTAAGATGATGAGTGATCTTAATATTGAACCAACACATACACACTACGCATGTCTGGTTGATCTTCTAGGAAGGGCTGGTCTAATGGAAGAAGCTGCAGACCTTATCAGAGGCCTCTCCATTGTACCAGATACTAATATATGGGGTGCACTTCTTGGGGCATGCAGGATACATGGGAACATAGAATTGGGCCACTTGGCAGCTGAACATTTGTTTAAATTAAAGCCTCAGCATTGTGGATACTATATTCTCCTTTCAAATATGTATGCAGAAGCTGAAAGATGGGAGGAGGCAAACAAGGTTAGGGAGTTGATGAGGTCAAGGGGAGCTAAGAAAAATCCTGGTTGCAGTTGGGTTCAAATTGGAGATCAGGTGCATGCATTTCTTGTTGGTGAGAAAATTGACAACTTGGATGATGACTTTTGGGTATTAGATTGTTGTTTACTTCGTTTTGTAAAAGCCTGAAGTAATATCAAGAGGATTGATTATATGGTACCTCACTATTATTTCCTTGGTCAAAAGTAGTGAAATTTGTACTTCGCATAGTAGTATGCTGGACAGAGAATCAGAATTCTTGTGCACAACATTCATTGGCACTGTGGCAGATATGCTTCTATTAAGTGGCTTAATCACTCTCTGTGAACTAATTTTGAAAATGATCCAAAATAGTTTTCACCATATGAAATATTTTGGTTCTCTCTATCAATGATGCTTGAACTCACATCAAGGATTCAGACCTAGAATTTGTCATCCTTCTAACCTCATCTTATTGGTTTAGTACTTACATAGACAAGACACATTCTTCCTGCACCTTGTACTTTCTTCTTGTAACTCGTATGCAACCAAAAAGACAATTTTGTCTTTAATGTAAATAGGTTCCATATTTACTTTTTTTAGAAGTTTTTCGAAATTATTTCTTTGTAAATAGGTTCCATATTTACGTTTCTAGAAGCTTTTTGAAATTATTTCTGGAAAGTTCATTTAAAAAAGATTTTGGAAAAATGAATATGAAACTTAAATCATATATGTGAAAAATCATTTATGGATTTATTTTTCCGAAAACTTTTCAAATTAATCTTTTTAAATTATATTTTAGATTTCATTATGAAACTTAAAATAATTATATATTTCATATTTATTTATCTGAATTCATTTTTGGATTTTTCAATTTGCAATGCTCCAAAATATATTTCCATATCTTTTATTCCATAAAATTATAAGGATGTTATTGTTTTTTCAAATATGGGAGCACAGAAAGAAAACATAGGATATAAGAAGATGTCGGTGACTTGTAATATGTGACGTTAATAAAATGTAAAATTGTTTTTTATATTCAAAAGGTTTACGTAAGTTAAGAGTTAAAAGATGTAAGATAACTTATAAATATGTAGTTTTCCTAATTAAGGAATTTTTACATAATAAACTATGACAAAGTTACTTCTAAATTTTGATGAATTAACCAAATACAAAATAAAATAATACTAAGTATAAGGTGATTCTAACATAGATATAGACATGAAGTCAGAGGAAAAATATTAAAACTATTTTTATTCTTTTGAAGAGTATTTTTACTAATTTGTTTATCAAAATAAATGTTATATATTTCATGATGGGTACTGAATAACTAACAGGATTGGATTTGACAAAACGATGTTCTAATTAATTAAAAAAATTAGTGAAAAATTGTATCTTCAAACGAATAACCGGGTAAAAAAAATAAGTGATCACTCAGTCATTCCTAAAAATACATATATTTTATTTGTATTTTTTTTTACCCTTAATTACATAAATATCACTTTGTGTTTTAGTTTCAATAATTTGTGTAAAAATAATAATAAAATGTTATTTTCAAAGATATTTCCTCGAACCACACCCTTAAAGTCCTCCTCAAAAACAGTCTCACTAATTTTGTTTAAAAGAACAAAGTCAAGTTTCCAATCATTTTTCTAAATTTCATGATAGATACACATAATCAATCAAACTGCACTGGACAAACCAATTTGTAACCACTCCAATATCTTATATTTAACTCTTTATCATCAAACCCCTTCTTTAGGACTATAAATTAAGATCATACAGCACTAACAATACTACCCTCAAGAAGCTATTAATCACTCTTGTTCATACTTTTTGTCCCTTCTTATTGAACATCATTTTCAAACATGGTGACACCAGAAAAGAGCCTTTCAACAGCTTTAAATGCTAGAACCATAGGCTCAGGCAACGAAACCATAGTTTTGTGTCATGGATTTGGAACAGACCAGTCCATATGGCACAAAATCATTCCCCTTTTGGCTGAAAATTACACTCTGGTTCTCTTTGATTGGCCTTTTTCTGGGGCAGTCACAGATAAGACCCTTTATGAGCATGCCAAGTACACATCCTATGAACCTTATGCTGATGATTTAATCACTGTCATAGATGAGATGGACCTCAAGTGTGTCACTTTTGTTGGACATTCCATGTCTGCTATGATTGGTTTAATTGCTTCCACTAAAAGGCCTCCACTTTTCAAGAGGCTCATTCTGGTTGCTGCTTCCCCAAGGTGAGTTCTAAAGCTTCTTCCTTTGATTCTTCTATTGAAAAATGTCATCAACATGTTTTTTGAATTTAAGTTCATTATTATGAAAACAAATCTTTATAAACAAAGTTCATTAGTCATTTTTTAATAAAATACCTTCTAATCATTTTCTTTTCATTTGCAAGAATCAAACCTACTAAACTCTGTAAAACAAATCAACCGCTATTCTATTAAATTAATGTATTATTGTATAGATTATAGTATTTGAAATTAGGAGAATGTTTCGACATTTTTTTCATAAATACTTTTATAAAATAAAAAATTAAATTAGATTCTCTATAAGTTAAATTAACTCATCTATAAGTTAAGTTGGATTAGACTACCTTCTCCATAAATATTTATAAAAAAAAGGGAACAAAAGTGAATTTAACTTTTCCATTGGATAAAATTAACTTATAAGTAAGTTGAAAAAAAAATTAAATGAGAAAGATTTACAAATTAGTTCTTGTAGAAAAATTCATTTTACTTTTTTTATTATTTTCTCTTGTAAATATATATATATATATATATATATATATATATATATATATATATATATATATATATATACTAGAAAATGACAGTATCTTATCTTGTTCATAATATTTGAAAATTTAGTTTAGAAAAAGATAAGTAACTAGCTTTATATATATATATATATATATATATATATATATATATATATATATATATATATATATATATATATATATATATATATATGACTAATTGTGATGATGTGCATTTTAGTTATTGACTTTTTAAAATGGAGATTTTCTATCTAACATTTTGAAATATAACAACAATCCCTTCCATTCACTCTATTTCCATTATTATTATTATTATTATTATTATTATTATTATTATTATTATTATTATTATTATTATTATTATTATTATTATTTATTTTTTTTTTCAATCAGTTTTCATCTGAAGGAATATTCCACCATCTCTACTCTGTTTTGTTCAAAATTTGAAATAATAATAATAATAATAATAATAATAATAATAATAATAATAATATCCTAGTCATGTGATATATTTTATTAATGTTTAAAAAAAATTAAGAATCTAAAAACTGAAGGATTAAAAAGCTGAAGGACTAAAACACACATGTCCAAAATTTTAATCTACCTTCCAATCAACGTTTTATTACTGAATTTTCATGGTTGGATAAATCACTATTTTAATTCATGAAAAATTAATGTAAAATATCGTCATATTAATTTCTAAAAGTAAGAAAATTCAAAATAAATTCATATTCAGTCAAAGAAGTTTCTAAACTTAATTGTCATTTTTTTCTTTAAAAACATTTCAATATTATCATGTAGACACATAATTTCTTACGCTTTTAAGAACTTCTCTAAATTATTATTTTCAGAAACTAATTAAATGACAACCCTCTCTCTACCTATCTATGTATCTATATATTTTACCTTTTTTTATATTTACTTAAGAAGATTATTTTCTTAATAATATCATGACATTAAATACATGTATAGGTATATAAATACAGATGATTACATAGGTGGTTTTCAGAGGTCAGATATTGATGAATTAGTCTCAACCATGGAGTTGCAATATGAAGATTGGATTTCAGCCTATGCTCCAATTGCAGTGGATCCAAATGATGCTGCCTCTGTTGAAAGATTCCAAAGCTGCTTGAAAAGTATGGATGTTGAAGTTGCAATCTCCTTGGCCAAAACTGTGTTTTACAGTGATTATAGACATGCTTGAGAAGGTTCAAACACCATGCACTGTCATCCAATCAAGCAATGACATATATAGCACTTCCACTTGGCATAGGGCAGTACTTGGAGAACACCATTAAAGGGGTGACCACTTTGGAGATCATCATAGACATGATTGGCCATTTCCCTCAGCTCACTGCACACCTTAAGCTAGTTGAGGTGCTGAAGGATGTTGTTGGCTTTGGCCATGCATAAATTTAGATGGGTTTGGTGCGTAATTCATCAATTCTATCCCCTTGTGTCAAATGTTGCATGGTGAAATCTGTGTTCATGTAAAAGAAGGTGGATATATATAAAAAATATAGAATGTGGTATTCATATTTGTGTGGAAGTGCACATGCTGAAACCAATTAATTTTTACCTTCTTTGAATGAACTAAAATATAGTTCAAAATAGGCGGTTGAGTCTAGTTTTGTCATGACAAAATAAAAAAAAATTAATAATTTAATTTGACCTATATTTAAAAACGAATCAAAGATTATACTCTAATTTGATCTTATATTAAGCCAATTAGCGATTATCTAATTTATTTTTTTATAAAAATATTAATATATTTATACCAAATCAATTAAATTAAAAAATATTTAAATAAAAATATATTTTTAGAATTTAAATTTTATTAATAAAATTAATTTTTATTTAAGATATAATGATTTAATATATAAATTATAAGATAATACATTCATTCACTCTCAAAATAAGAATTAAAAATTTTACAATTCATTATCATTATTTGTTATTTTAGTAATTTATTAATTTAACATGGTAATTAATTTTAATTATTAACATCGAGTTAAATTTACTTTGACACCCTACAAATTTGAATGATGATGGTTTTTCCTAAGGTATATATAGTTTTACTTTCTTTTTATTTAATTCTTTATTTCTTGAGAATATTTATGAGGGAAACTTTTTTTCTCTTGTAATATTTGTTTTATTATCCTTTATTATGTATTAAGATATTTTATTATATTTTAAGAGAAGATATTACATTGTTATTTTAATTTAGGTAGTTATAATTGAGATATTATTAATATTTCATATTTTTTCATATTTTTATTCTATATATAAATAGAGTACATGAATAAAATATATACCTATATGAGATATATTTCATATATCATAAATACACATACATAAAACCTTAAAATTTCTCGTCATTGATATAAAAAATGACAGGAGAAAGAAGTTTTTCACAAATCGTCATTTCAATTTACGATGGTGAAAATTATGATCTCTGATCTGTTGCCTGAAAATCCCATGGAAAAGGATTATATCATTGATATGTTACCTGAAAATCCCATACTCAATCAAATTTCAAATAGAAAGAAAAATAAGAAAAACAAAAGTTGAATCATGTCTATTTGTTGGTATTTCTCAAATGATCCTCACCAGAATCTTGACGCTAAAGTCATAAAAAAAATCGAGATTATTTGAAAGATCAATATGAAGGAGACGTGAAAATTCGAGGTATAAAAGTTTTAAACTTGATAAGGGAATTTGAGATACAAAGGAGGTAAGAGTCTAAGACAACTAGTGAATACTCAAACAAATTATCGGGTATTGCTAATAAGATAAAAACTATTAGGCAAGGAATTTCTTGATTTCAGAACAAACCAGAGATATATGAAGCATTTATTGCTTCATTGAAAAACATAAAGGATTTGTCTAATATTATTTTAGCATAAGTGTTACATGCTTTACAAGCACAAGAGTAAGAAGATCGATGAGAGGAGATTATACTCTTGTTGAATGTTATTTATTATATGAAGGTGAATGTTCTCTAAGGAAAAATTAATAAAGATACCAAATTATGTGTCTTCTCTATTTGTCCTTATTGTAAGAAAAATAATCACTCACACAATAAGTATTGTCAATTGAGACATATAGAAAATATATGCAAATTACAATTAAAAGAAGTCGTTAAGGTTATAAAAGATGAAGTATAAGAGAAAATTTCCCTTTAATCAACATGCTCTACAATCAACAAATCCATAGGTTTACTTATAGATAGTTCTTTTATAACTCACATGACTCATGATCAAGAACTTTTCAAAAGGCTTAACAAATATGTTATTTCCAAAGTGCGAATTAATAATGGATAACAAATGAATGTGAAAGATACGAGAACAATTATAGTTAAAAGTTATTCGGGTATCAAATTAAATTTGAATATTTTATATGTTCTTGATATTAATCATAATTTGTTAAGTGTTGCTTAATTATTGGATTAAAGTTATTAAAGATGCAAATATCTTGAAGAAAAGTTTTACTTTAGATTTTATAAAAGAGGAGTTGACAACAAATAAAGATATAAAAGAAAAGTCAAAGGAAAAATATGATGAATATTTCTTGAAAAAACATAATGTTAAGGAGGAAAATAAAGATGTAGATGAAGAACTAGTTTCTGACCTTCATCAAAGGGTCAAAAGCACTATCATGAAGTTTGAAAGAAACAAAAAAGATAAAATTGATAAAGGAAGAAATATATTGATGAAAAAAGTTAAATTGAATGAAAATATGATCTTATACAAGAAGAAAGATGACCAAAAGTACAAGAAAGAAGAATTCCAAGCAAGATAGAATGAAGAATATCAAATTCTAAAAAAATGATATTAAAACAAGGAGAAATGATGGGAATATATGCTTTATTATATTTTATCGAGTTATTAAGAGATTTTATTATCTTTTAAGAGAAGATAAAGAATATATTATGTTGTTCTTTTGGTTTAGATAGTTATGATTGAGATATTATTAATATTTAATTATTATATTTTTACTGTATATATAAATAAAATACATGAATAAAATATATACCCATATCAAATATATTTCATATATTAGAGATAAACATACATACAACATTCAAAATTCCCAAATTCCCATAATACATGGATTATGAAATTAATGATTGAAGAAATTTCCCTCAAAGAATCTCTTAAGATATAAATTAAAATTAATTTACGCGTAAAATTTAAACTTATGGGTAAATTTAGAGTATTTTTAACAAGATTTTCTTAGGATCGATTTATGTTACATGTTCAATTTCTTCTTCAAGTTAAGATTTGTTTCCTATGTAAAAAAATATTTTTGGAAAATAAAAAAAATGTTTCTTTTAGATTAGGAATCACAAATTATATTTTTTATGTGAGTTCCTCAAAATTTCTTAAAATCTCCTTTATCATTTAATAATTATATGGCAAAATACAAACTACATTTTACAAACATATATTTTCATTAGAGATGTTCATACTTCATTTTTTTTCTTTATTTGAAGTGTTTAATGGAAAGAAATTCATACACACAAGTCAACGTTAAGTTACTTGTAAAATGTATGGATTCCAGTGGATATTAGGTATGTTTGGACAAAATTTTCAATAAGCACTTCTACGAGAAGAAATAAAAAGAAAAATGAAATAAGTTTCTTCATAAAAAAAATTATTTTAATTTTTGAAATTCTACCATTTCAAGTTATCAAAAATAATATAATAATTTTTTTAAATTTTTTATCACATAAAATATTTTAAATAATTTGTGAAAATAAATTATCGCAAATTTTGAAAAAAAAACGTAGATAAAGAAAGGAATTTGAATGCACCTTGAAAGTAGGGATGACAATTAAACTCGTCCCCGTAGGGATCGACCCGTCCCCACCCCGAGTTTGACGGGGAAAACCCGAGTTGACCGGGGGCGGGGGCGGGTTCGGGTTTTCCCTGCTTTAAAAAGTCGGGGACGGGGGCAGGGATGAGTAATGCAATCCCCACCCCGACCCCGGCTCCGTTCCCGCCCTGACTTTATATTTAAATTTAAATTTTAAAATATTAATATTTTAAAAGTATTTTTTTTTCTTTTTCTATTACATATAAGGTCATTTTTTTATATTTTACTAATTTTTATTTTTCTTCTACCTATTTTTTAATTTTTTTGTCTTTTTTTGTCTTTTTTAATCTTTTATAGCAATTAATTTATTATATTATTCTCTCTTATACCTTGTAGTTTTTCATATTTTCTTAATCTCTCTCATCAATTTGTTTTTTTTTTCAATCTTTTCAATCAATTTGATGAATCCAGCTAATTTTTTTATTCTTTATCTTTTTCTAAATATTTTACATAAATCTTAATAATAACTAATATCATTTTATTTATAATTTATATTTATTAGGTTTTATTATGTCATTTGTTTATCTTATTATTCTTATTTATCATATATCAAATTTTATCTTAATAAAATAATTGTATTTTAAAGGATTAAAGGAATTGATAATTTAAACTTTTATTACTTTGAATTAATTGAATAATAATTAACTTATTAAATATTTCATTATAAACTATATATTTCATATTTTTAAATTACAACTTAAAAATGAATTAACTTATATATATAATCAAATGTTTGAATACAGTATTATAATAATAATCATAATGTTATAAATATTCAAATATTTGAATATAATATTATATTATTAATAATAATAATGTTATAAATAAAAAATGATTAAATATTTCTTTTACATACATATTTTAATATAAATATAATAAATTAAAATGTATATTTAATTAATAATTATTATAAATTATAAAATTATAAATATTTATTTATATATAAAAAATAGATAGTAAAATTAATTTATTATAAATGTAATTTTCTTTTTAAAAATAATATAGATTGGGGACGGAGATAAAGACTTAATTTCTAACTCCGGAAGGGTTGGGGACGAGAACGAGGATGATTAAAAAGTCGAGGCGGGGATCGGGAGGCAAATCCCCTGCTCCGTTGCCATGGCTACTTGAAAGTGAGATCCAAGAAAAAGAGTGTAAAAAAAATCGGAGCTTGACCATGTGACACAGGTGAGGGAAGTGTGTGTGGATATGGGGACGAGAGAGGCTTATTCCTCAATTTCGATTCAACTAAGGGCAAGTCTTTTGTTTTAATGTATTTCTATATTTTCTTCTTATAATTACTTCATGATTAAATGATAAAAATATTTTATATATTTTAATTTTTAAATTATTTTCATATTTTATATCTTATTTCTTCTTTTGTTATAAGGAATATTATCATCACCCACGTCATTTATGATAGAAGTGGTTGAGCACATAATGCTGATAGGTGCAGAAGGAAATGGAATGAACGTTGGAGGATCACGAGAGAACATGTGATGAAAGCACGAGGCATCAAGAAAAGTAGCGGAACA